TATATAATACCTAATCTGTAACCTCTTAAAGATTTTTTAGAAGTATATCTGACAGGCTGGAAGGGTTTTCTTCAAAAGCCTTCTTAAGCACCTGTGGATTAGAACCATAAATCGTGCTTTAAATAAATTAAACCCGTCGACATCCAAAATGAGAAGTGGTCTTAGAAAGGGACTGGACACCATATTTTCCAGAAAAAAAGGAAACATTCAGGCGAGCATACAATTAACATGAAACAGATCCTTGAATGGACTGGTGTGTAATAAATTCTACATGAAAGGGACTAACAAAAACCTTTCCACTTTACTTAGCAGGTGTGCCCACTGTTCTCATTTATCAGTTTTCTTATTAATCATAGGAGGTAGGGGGATGGGTCACCTCTGCATTGTTTATATTAAGAGCTTAAATGCTCTAAAGCTAAAAGCCATTATATCATCCATACATGCATATATAAAAAGAAAATGTCCGACTAAATGTCCAAAGCAAATAATCAAGTGTGAAATGCTCTGCAGTTAACGGTGGTGGACAGCACCATGACTTAAGAGCAGACACAAGCCTCTGTTCTTTTTGGCCAAAAACACAGCTGACATAATCCGCAGTGGGTCATAAAAAAACAGGACATGGTTTACAAGAGACACTTTCTCTACTCAATTCAGTTATTTTAATTTATTGTTCCTGCTGGTTAGTAATACAGACAGGAAGATCAGTGAATACATTTTTCCATTGGGACTCGTCGATTGTTATAAAGGAGCCAGACGGGCTGGATGTAAGGGATGGAGGAGGAGGAAAAGCAATGACAGGACGTAATTAGGAAATTGAGTTGACTTGAATGTGGGAGTGATGAAATGAGCCAGTGGCGAGAGAGGGGAGGAAGACAGCCAACTACAAGTCACTTTGAAATAAAGTAAAAGTGTGAGTCATAATTCCAAGACATATGCATCACAATCACCTTTCACATGTGCTTTAAAACCATGCAATGAACACACCGTCTGTTCGCACACAGGCGCTGAATGAAAATAAATCTACTGCACATCTAGTATGTATGTGCAGTAGATTTACTAGCCAGTTTATTATCTCCATCTCACCAATGCTCCTTTCTATCTCCAAATATGGCTTGATTAAAAACAAATCTAGTATTATTCCTTTACCAGTGATGTTAACAAAGCTAAAACCATCTGTCAAAAGTGTCTTTTCAGGAGCCGAAGAAGAGGACAGGGATTACAGTATGGTTTGACCCTGTGAAAGCACTGTTGGCAGCTGGGTTATCTTTGAGATAGAACGGTTCCCTGTAGCGCATTTGGCAATCAACAAATATGTTGGCTTTGTGCCGACATGGATCCAGTATGCACTCATCAAGTAATCGTTGCTGACAAAGCCTGTATCAAAGAAAGATAGTGGGGTGAAGCAGCCTAGGACAAATAATCTGAGGGGTAAGTACCTGCTGATGATAAGAGCACACTGTCACCGATTCTTTAACCAAATCCTAAATCTTGTGGTCCGGTCACACTTTCATTTAGATGTGGGAGGTACAGATGAAAAGCACAGGTAATTAGGGAAGTTTTGAAAAAGACTTTATGGGGCTTTGAGCTTCTAACTCTCCTCCCTTCTCTCTTTTGTTCATTCCTCCTGTTTCCCAGGGCCTGAGATCAGGAAATTTAGAAAAAAACATGTCTTGCCTTTGAGTCGCGTACTCAGGAGAGTGCAGTAGGCGTAGTTAAAACATGTGAATGCCTGGAAACACACACAGAAACGTGTAATATATTTGCACCACGGTTAAGTTCATAAACATGTTTCCCGTCCACCCTGTATGATTAAATGAGGCATTTAGGGATGAATTCTGGATATCCTCCCTAATTTGAGAATGAGCTCATCGTGCGGTGTAATGTCAGCCTGTGTCCAAGCATCAGCCTCTAGAGCAATAACCCTGTCGGTCAAAACATCTGCAGAAAAAAAAAAAGACATACAAGACATGAAGTGAGAGAACAAGAATGATGATGTGAGAGATGGTTGGGGAAAAAGTCGAACAAAAATGAGTGAGACAACTTCCAGATTAGGTAGAGATTGCAATTAAGATAGAGGCCTGTATTTGATAACAGAAGAAGACAGGACTCAACACAAAAGTGATTTATTATTTCATGCACAACTATGCAAGCGTGCTTTGCATACACAGACTTGCCCATCCAACGTTTAAAAAACAAAGGATAACAAATCAAGTGTTTAATGAATAAGATAAACCTCTAAGAGGATGTGTTGTGTGGGCCCACCCATGAAGATTCTGACAGTTTATATCAAGAGCACAAAAGAATTCAAGATGTCCAATAAAACAGTGCTTTCAGGCTAGATATGTTTGTCTGTCTGCCAGTAAATTACTGCAGCTCCTTTAAGATACACTGTCATTTTTCATTTTAACCTCAACTAAGTGTCTGCTTCATGTCTGAAAGAGCGCCGTGGTTATATAGCCATGTTAGGTCAAAAAAAGGACCCAACAGGTCAAATCCTTAAATCATGTTAACTACATAAATTTGAACAAATGCTGCATTTAAAACAGTCTTGCTCCATGGTTCTTAATCCCCTTTGGGCTTTCACATTGTTTTTGTTTTTTCCCTCCGATAAAGGACCCAAAAGGTAATAAAAAATAACACTTTATTGAGTGGATGACTAACAGATAAGAAACACACAGTGGGGAAATATGGGGATAAATTCTGGCCTAAGCACGTTCTAATCACAAGACTGTACAAATTGGGGTTCAACCAAGCAGATTTTCAGTTTTAGGACAACCACAAAAACCTTCCATGCTGCACCGTAAAAGTAAACAGAAAGAGCTATGAAGACACAGCTCTTGTCACACTATGAATCCTTGAGGGTAATCTATACAAAAAGTGAAAATGTGTGTTCTCAAATGTAGGACTTATACAACAGGTCTGAACAATCTCAAGGCTACAAGAGATGTTACAATGGCCTTTGTTGAGTCAGAAAGCACCTCAATCTGTCTTTCTGAACAGACCTTATCACTTTGCTGAAGGGCAAATAAAGTTTAAAATGCATCACGCTTTTGTTAATGACAGCAAGCTATTCAAGAGAGTAGAGTACATTTCTCTGAAGAAGTATTTGTGAAATCTTGTGAGGACAACTTGAGCCTTAAGGTGGTCATGGTGACTAGTGAGGGTGGTAAATATTGTCCATGCTCATATTTCTCTGGGAATATGCATTCACATGCAGACACACACACACACGATTACATCAGTGCATAGCGTCAGTCTGCAAGACACTCAAATAGGTGATAGTAATAAAAAAGAGTGTCAGAGGTTACATCTTCCCTCTTATCCACCCGTTGTTCATTTCCACGTGCTAAACAGCAGTTATCCAATGAGATTCTGCTTTGTATTGGAGAAAACAAATATATTTTCAATTTGAGTGGTTAAAGGTTAAACCGGGGTTGAGTAGGTTCCCCCTCCCACTTTTCCATAATTTGTGAAATACCCAAGTGGATCTGTGGAAAATTTGGAGTCATATATAAGGCACGAACAGCTCTGGTCATGTCATTGTGTGTGTGCATCTGTGAGAAATGTGGACATTTTTGGCCTGCATAATGTGAAGGGTCAGACAGATTAAGTCAGATAACAACAATCTCAAAAATTCACATCTAAAAATTAAGAACGTCAATGCTGTGCTGAATGTCTGGCAGACAGAAGGGATTGAACTTTTGTTCTTTTTTTTCTCGAAAGTTTATCAATGCCAGTCAATTTTATGCCAGAAAACACTAACGAATCTGGGATACAAGCAAAGTATTACTTAAAGGTTTATTCAATTGCACTAGAAGTTTAAAGTGAGGGAATAGAAAAACCACAGACAAGTCTTCTGAAAACTGCAATTTTTTGTATCCTTAATTCAGGATGAAATTCAATAAAAGAAAAAAGAAAAAAAACAATATATATAACTATATATATATTTATATATAAACATAAATATATATTGGGGAATATGCGTTTATATAGGGTTGGCTCTGACTTGAGGCAAGGCAAAACAGGCCAAAGCCCAATGTAGGAGCTCTAAGTTTAACACAGATGTCACATTTGCAGCAAACAGCTCGATGGATATCTGGTTCTGGTTTGAGAATCTTGAGCAGGGAAGACAAGCAAACTTGTCAAGCTACAGAAGATTACTTAGACCATATTACATGAGAATCTTCTGCAACAAAAGAATACCATATTTGTTCATTAGGTTCAAAAGGCCTTTGATGAAAAAATGGAGTATACATGCGGCCCATGTTTATGGGAATATCTCCATGACACAACAACTCCCACATGACAAGCACAAAATTGGTCCACATGAAGCTGTGATTATAAAACAGGGCAACAACAATGCGTTAACATAAATGGCCATACTCTATGCACAGAGACCATCCTCGAAGAACTTGAAAAGACAGGCTGGTGACATCATTATTTTCAGCCCTATCACTCTCTAGCTTCTATTTTTATTCCACTGTAATTTTCCATTTGAGAGGTTCTTTGTATATGTGAATTATAGACATTGTTAAGGAACGCTCAGACATGAGGTAACATGGGAGGGGTGATGATGATGATTATGATGAAGAAAAGAAAAATGATCAGAAACACAGAATTGCCTTTGTCTACGTTATTTGTAAAATATTAATAAAAGTTATTAATAAAACTAAATGTTGCCTATTGTTTATAGTAGCAGGTGCTGGAGTGCTGGAAAGGATAGACGTTTAAAATATCCAGCTAGTTGCCAACTCCATGAAATATTGCAGAGTTGCCCAAGTAGTAGTTTACCTGCATACCAGCTACCAATTCCTTCTGGGTATCAAATTTTGCCTTTCTCTTCTGTCAAATGATTTACATAAAGTGAGCATAAAATCATATGAAAAGATCAGTGTTTCTTCTCCAATATTCACAATCGTCACTAAATATCAAATGAGTAAATGACAGCCTGCGGAATCCTGTCTGAACTGTATTGCTGATGAATGTCATGTAACCTTTCCTTAAGTTTCACACACAGAGAACTTACACTGAAAGGCCTCTGAATGCTTAGAGATGAGGTGCTCCAGCTGGCCACTGTAGGAATGAATATTGTGGAGAGTTTCTCGTTTTACAGCAAACTGGTAGCTCTCCTCCATCTTCCGGGTGCAGCAGGATGGACCTGGGTGCTTACAAACCAGCAGATCCACATCTACAAAAGTCAAGCAGAAATGGATAAATGTTTGATTTGTTTTCACCCATCAAACCAACAACAGTCACTTTTTCATAGAAAATAATCCTTAAATTAGTCAATTAGAGATTTTGTTTGGCAAAAGGAAAATATACTTATGTCCTTTTGTTTATCATTTTTAAAAACAATTTATTAAAACTTTGCATACAACAGTCATGATTCTATACTGTAAAGTTTGTGTAAGTGTATGTTTAGCTGTCTGTGTATGCACAAACATAGCCAAGCCATAAAATCACTGACATGCAGAAGGGGCACCATGGCAGGATGAGAAAGTAGACCAAGAATCCCTCTCCGTTTTCTGCTATAAATACTGTCTCTTCTAAATATATACCTTTGCCTCAATGTGATATAACTGCACACGATTGCTGCTTGAATTTACATGCAGGAAGCCTTTGGGATTGACATGTAATTTAATTCAATAATAAAATCAAACATACACAATTTACAGAGTTTCTCAAAGTAAAACTTCACATGCAACTCTATGAATGAGCCACTTCTGCCACTTAACTCTAATCCCACCAGGCACACATGAGCAAACAGAACAGCTTTTGATACAGAGTTATGTCAGAAACTTAGTCCCACTTTATAACATCACAATGCAAAAACATGACATATCTCAGACCAGTCACTGTTGACAGCAATAAACTATAACAGCACTTTCTTCACCCATTATACACAAATACACACCATTATATTAATACTTTGGGGGGTTTTTTTACTGGGGAAAGGCGTGCGTGGGGATAGGGGCAGGTGTTGTAACCAAAGACTAAACCATGGCATTAGGACAGACTACAAGTCCAGTCCCCCAACAACCAAATCCCTCAATGAAACACAATAAGGTTGCATTCTGACTCCCTCTTTCCCTTTCTGCTCCCACTCTCCCATTTGCCTGGCATACACATGTGAGGCCTGGGTGTCTCTTAATTATCCAGTGAGTCTCCATTTGTTCCCATCCCAGAGCCAGATGCATGAAGTCATAGCTGGCTCTCCTGCCGCTTCCAGCTCATTATCTCCATCTCTGTAGCTCTAATATGTTTTTATTTTGACACTGTTGCTGTAAGGAGTTCTGCCCATCGCTCAGCTCAGTCATGGACTGCCAGCTACCAGTTTGTGGTTTTGGTCATGTCACAAGGACAAGTACTAATTCACAGCAAAAAGTTCACCTATTCGTGGGTTATGGCACACTTATTTTTAGAAAACAACAACAACTTTTAACTGATATTGCATAAGTTATGTCAGTAACAAACAAAAAAACTGGTTTGACAGGTATGAGCTTGAAGATAAAGATTAGTTCATTTAATCTCCTTAAGAAGTATTTTCCAACTAACTGACATGCAAAAGTCAGACGTATAAACTCCAATTGTTAACGTCTTTTGCTGCATCAGAAAATAAACACTAACAATAAAACAATATAAGACCTTTAATTAGGTTCAAAAGGCAGATTTGGCACATTTATACAAATGACTTGTCGGAATCAGACATGTTTAACAAAAACACATGAATAAATAAGTAATGAGTAATTAAGTACAGAGCCTAACATGTTGGTTTTAACTGCACGTTTGCAATATTTAGACAGTTTCAACAGGATTCAATCTTAATCTTAAAAAGTTACATCTAGACTTAAGGGAAATGTATCGTAAAGCTGTTAATACTGCTTATCACATGGGAAATCAACCTTGAAGACAGATTTTCTGTTGTGTCTGACCTCACTATTAAGCCCATGTTCTTCACTAGCCAACCCCTTTTACCTTTGTGTCTTATCTGTAATATGAAAGCAATATCCAGGGACTGAAGTGGAATTCAGCTTGGCTACTCCATCTCTTGCTTATAACTGCATGGAATAAATAGTACCCAAAAGAATTGGGTTGTTAAAACCACCCCAGTCAGGACATTATTTTTCCCAAAAATACAAATAATCTTTTCCATTCGTTTTCAGCTATGTCACTACAATGTTTAGCTTCTTAGTTTTCTTTCTTTTAATGCCAACATGTACGGGAATAACAAGTATATCCAAGTCTTTTAGACAAGTGATTAAAGCAAAGCGGGCATGTCTCGTCTTTAACAAAGCGTTTACAAAATATTCAGTGTACAGAGCACCCAAACCTTTAAAACTACATTCCAAGTTACTAATTGAAAAAATGAATGCATATTATGGAAAATGAATTGACATGAAAGTTACTTGGTTTTCTCAATTTAAGTCAAACTTTAGTTGGCACACAATTACACTGTCAGTAAGAACATCTGGACAGCAAATTTTTGTCTCATTTTTTAAAACCCACTGAAATTCTGTCAAACTTCCCAGGGAGCAAAAGTCAATTGCTGCCTCAAATATGAATTTGGATGGATTTAGAATCATTTCTGACTTTACAATTAAAAGCAGATCATTTGTAAGGCTCCCTCTGAGAAATCCCAGCATATGTTTGGCTTTGGGCTTGTTATCATGGGATTTATTTATGTATGAAAGTTGGCAAATTTAGTCATGGATCCATTCAGTTATGCTGCCAAGTCAACATAGATAACCATTGACTCTGGTAATTGAAAAATTCTCTCATGCTTTGTACGAGTTATCATACACAGAAGTACTCTCAAAAGGATTATTTTAGTTTAACCAAATAATACATTATGTAAAAGGTTTATAATATCTATTGCAGACATGTTAGTGTTAAGGTGTTTAATCAGTTCCACAGTTGATTCATATTTACTACCTCCCTCACTAGTGTGGAACATGTAAATAAAATGTTTTTAAAAAGTGATGAACTTGTCTGCTGCCCATGTGTAATGAATGCCCAATACACACATTTCTCATTCTTCCAAACATAATTCTTGTTAAAGTTTAGCCCGTATGTCATTTTGTAATCCTAATTCCTATAATTGGTTTCAGGTGAGAAATCCCTCAGGACTAATTTGTCAGGACTAATCTCAATGTAATTTACTACTCAAATCAAAACATTGTGAAGAAACTTTGCCACTTTCCCGATATCTCACATGTTTTTCACAATATGTGTTACTACAGTTGCTGAATAGCTGCTCTATAGGAGTACATGCACCAATATCAGCACTGACAATAAAATATCATGGATATTATTCCAGTTGGTTTGTTCTAATTAGGCTGAGCGTGTTTTCTCTGTGATCCTCATGCTACTGAAATAGGCAAGTAGGCCATTAATAGTCACCTTTCACCCTCCTCAGGAAGCTTGTTCCCTTTGAAAATCTTCTGAGCATACAGGATATTTACCGTGTAAAGGTTTTCTCTGATTTTGACTGACCATGTTGAAAGAAAACACATCTCAAAAGGAGTATTTGCCGCATACCTGAATTTCTGACTACCTCGAAACTCAACTGGAATGTTTGGCTTTCCCAGACCCCAAGTTGGAACTGCCTGTAGTGACTGGCACAGACTCCAAAGCCATACCGGAGGGCAGAGGTTGGACAGCCAAAGCATAAAGAAAGATGTGAGGCTGGTGGGCAAATGGTGCAGACTTGCTGAAGCAGCATTATATCAGAGGGTTTTCACCCACAGATGAGCAGAGAATTTATGTAACCGTTTAATATCCTCTGTTGAACACACCTCAGAAGCAACCTTGTGCCAGTATCTACCCTTTGAGCAACTTTATTATTTCCTTTGTGGATCTCTTGTTAGAATTATACAATAACTTAGAGTTATACAATAACTCTAACAAAAATTTTATTACAACGAAAAAGAAAATAGAAAATTAAAAATTCCCTTTTTTCTGTCAACACAATGCGCTACAGATTAAATCCAATAAAATATATTCATTTGAAGTGATAAAAACAACCTACACATTTTGAGTAAAGAAGAAAACTTGTTGAAAACAACACTCTTTTAAAAGAACAAAATGGACATAATAAAACTAAATAAAAAGAACATTTAAAAAATGGTTGTCTTGAAAAAAATCATTAATTCTGAATTATACTGAGGCAGGGAGTCGAGAAATTACCAGAAGTTAACAGCTGTTTCCTAGAATGTATGAAGAAGGTCAGCTCCATGTGTACTGTAACAGGTCCCAGTGAGACAAGCCAAGTTTAACACAAAAAAAAATGCAATCAAAATAACTACAGCCATTTAAAGGCTGCAGTGAGCTTTGAGAACTCGCCAAGACCTTTGACGCTGTAACTGGTTAAGGATGTGGAAAGATGTGCTAACACACTGTGCTCCAATTCACTTGCTATTAACACACGACCCTCATTGAATTAAAAAAAAAGTTACATGATACATTCTTTCATTTTGAAATAGTTGTCAAAAAATGTTTTATATACATAGACATATGGGCTCTGCACAGTGTGAAAAAGCATATCTTTGAATCTTATCCAAGATCCCATTTGTGCAAATTAGGTGCATCCACAGCACCTCTAACTGCCTGCCTTGCAAATGATCTCTGAAATAAAGATATCAGCACCCCAATCACAATATGGACTATCTGGCAGTGGTACACTGAAAGGCCAAAAGAATCACATACAAGAAACTTTGTGTAACCGAGCAGCCAAGATACGCCGAAACTGGCATGGACACCTGATCGATGTTTATAAATCGTGGCCCATTGATCAGACGTCTCTATGTTACATGGCTTTAGTCCAGAAACAGGTTTTATTCTAAATAACTAGAAATAAGAGAACTCCAAGAGAAGTTTTTCTGTTACCAACTCCTTTTCAAACTGAACGTTTCTCTTTCACATGTTTTTCAGATCCGGGTATTTCAAAACAAACATCTCTATATAATGCGTAGAAAAAGAGTAGTTCCTTTCAAACAGGATCATCCAATATCCTGGCTGCCACACTCCTACTCCTTGGTGAGAAATCTGTTCAACACACATGAAAAGCGGCACATTATCCTAACACAAACATCGGACTGCGGAAGAGCTGAAGACTTGCCACTTCAAATTTCAAGATTTGCTTTTGTTGGCATCTGATCTGAGAAGTGAAGCAGTGAAGCATAATTGTGTACACACACACACACACACACACACACTCACACGCCAAATATCCCACTTTAACAAGCCCTTCAACTGGTCAGCTCTTTGATGACTTTACTGTATCTGACCCAAACAGGACCAGAGCAAATAAAAAGCAGCAGATGCTATAAGCTCTATACTGACATGAAGGTCCTGATCAAAAAGCAGACTGGGAAGCACATGGAAAATAACAGCCCCATTTTCTAAAAACATTGCCATGAATAAGTTGCATTTCAAAACTAAAATCACAGAGGCTAAACCTTTCGTGGTTTCACAAATCCCCTTGTGTTTTTCTTCATCTACCCTAGAACAGAACGCAAAATGTACATTTTCTGTTGCTAGAGACACCATGTTAAACAAACATATCAAGTGGTTTGGATGCATCTTTAGACAAGTTTCCTCACTCTGGTATCCATTACCCTTCTTTCACTTACAGAATGCAAACTCAAACTGGGTGATACTTTAGCTGCAGCCAGCCTGCATGTGACTCTACTGCAACAAGAACCCTGTTCTGCCCAGGACAAGCAGCTGTGTGCCAAAACAACTTAGAATCTGTCAATACAACTCGCAGTAAGACACGCACATCCATATAATGCCAATTCTGCATCATTTTTTAAAACTAGAAAACAATATGTCAAAATGTCCATTGCATTCTTTAGTTCTTACAAGGTTTATTGACTTGTATTGAGACTGATCAGAATTTGATCCCCCCAGATGACACCAAAAAAACCCAACTAGCACCTCTTCACAACTCATCTTTATACGTTCAATTACTGTGGATCTGGAATATGAAGATATCCCTCCTTTCCACAAGAAGTATCAGGACTTGCAAGTAACAGAAATCAAGACAAGAAAGTTGCCTGAAAGTAGGAAACTTGAGCCACAGTAGTAATTATCTGCTCTGTTTAGGCAGCCCTGTTTGCTCGAAAGGTCTTATACAACAAGAGAAAGGAAGTGTAAAAAAAGAAGAAAAAAACATCCTAACACAAAAGCATCTAAAAGTCACTGTTGGAATGCTAAGCAGCCTATCTAAACTGACTAAATTCCAATCGTGGGGAGTGGAGGTGGCAACCTTGACCCCCAAGAATTAACACTGTACTGGGTGCTATATCAAAGTATCTTATCACCTATAGCACAATACAAGGGCAATTCATCTCATTTTGCTTTCAAATCATTTAAACACATTTGATATTGATGAATAAAAGTCAAAACCTCTATAAAATGAGTTCAGCCCTCTTAAAATATATAAATAACCTTTTCCTCAGTGTGCAGTGTTGACATCTTAAAGTCTTTAAAAAAAGGGGGGAAAAAGAGAGATTATTAATGCTAAAATCATGTCAGCAAAAGTACAAAAGATCACAAGGCTCTCTGAAACACTGAGAGCACCTTTCATCAGCAGTGCCTCCTCTGCTCATATGCTCGGAGTGTTAGGAACTGGACATCACATTTGTCCAAATTCTCTAAGCACAGAAATGAGACTTTCAGAACTGTCTGCACCAAATTACACTTTACTCCTAAGAAGAAAACCTAAGAGTGATTGATTATTGAAAAAGAAAACTCATCCATATCACATTAGCACGAAAGCTGAAGTTGGCAGTGTGGGTTGAGGGTGGTCTTTAAAAGCTATTGTCAATCATATTGAAGGATGAGGTCAGTTTTTCTATTGTTTTTTCTTCTGTATTAGCACTGATATCACTTTGAGTGGATCACTGTAAGTGATAAGATAAGATAAGATAAGATAAGATAAGATAAGATAAGCTTTATTGATCTCACAGTGGAGAAATTCACTGGTCACACATCAGTTAAATTATGATAAATGATGATGATAAAGATAAAGTGATGCATGAGCATTTGGCATAAGCCTAGTTTGACTACTCGAAAAACTTTTAGTAGCAGGCCCATTGTTTATATTCTTTAACAGTGCGGCATTTGCACTTTACATTCGACTCAACCCAGGTCTTTTCTTCCTGTTTGCCAAACCCCCCGCTCACCTGTGCCAGGTGTCTCCGGTACGCGCTGAGGCGGCCCGACCTGCCGCGTCTGGAAAGCCGTCCTCACTTCATGACAGCTGTACGCCTCCGAGTCGGTCACAATCAGAGAAAACACAGCAAACGTCAACGTCCAGACGCAGCCCAAACAGTTCACGCGTGGGTACACTCCTCGGGACATTGCCGCATCTCACACCGGGTATCCCCGTGGATCGCAGACCGGGACGGCACCGTGGGGCTGAGTGACGCTGTCTGATATAAACGGCTCGTGACTATGAGCAACGATTAGTCTGAACATCTGACAAACCTTTCCTTTTTTTTTTTCTTCACATTATGGCCTGAGATGGGTGTGAGCGCCGTGACGGACTGGAGAGGTTTTGGGGGTCTTCCTTCTCTCGGAGGTGTGAGCTGAGCGCAGTGTGTCTGACGGTCAACACTTTGCGGAGGTCGACTGCCTCTGTGCCCATTCCCAGTGCGCGCAATCCCCTCCCTCTCTGTTAGACTCAGTTTACCGCCCTGATTGAAACTCACTTAATATCATTGCACTGCAGACACTTCCAATGTGTGTGTAAGTCATCATTTAAACCCACTGTATAGAAACTGACAATAGAATCTGGCCAAGCAAATAAAAATCGTTTATTGGAGATGTATTTGCCAACATTCTGAATCAAAGAAACTACTCTAATCATTTTGCTGGCATCATTCTTTTTTATTATTCTTTTTTTTTAATTAATTTGATCTTTTACTGTTAGTAAGGTGCACTATTATAAGGACGTTCAATTCTATATGTTAGTCGAAGGTAAAGGTTGCCAGCATACCTCCTCAACATATAAAGACCTTTTGAGGATTTAGGGATGATGTGTTTTGGAGCTACAAGGTACTTTTTAGATTTACATTGATGCCATCTTGTGGTGGAAATGTACAATGGCCGTCTGGCGTGTGACTGTAAAAGTTGATAGAACATGAAGGGGTTTTTTTTACTCAAAGATTACATGTTCATTTGTTATGGTCAATATAAATTAGACAGTTTACTCAATGAATGTCCAAATGAATGAGTTATAAAGTGAACAGAGGAAAAAGCATGCACCCCAATACCATCCAAAAACATCACTGACCTAAAAGTGAGACAATAAAAAGAATCAATTATACACCAAAACACAGCATGAGTCAAAGATATAGCAGATGCTTTGTTAAATATATGTTGTTTTATATAAAACATTTGTTTAAAATGAATAACTAACAAACTACTACAGAGAATTCATATATTGGACAGTTTAATAAGAAAATTGGTGAGTTCATGGACCTCACAAATGGAAGTGTTTAAGGATTTTCAAAGTTATGGTTTGTAAATCACTTTCCATGTCACGTTTTGTTTTCACATAACTGAGAGTTTGCACCAAAATATCCTGGTCTTCTGCGGTTAGGTTAATCTTAACTGGCCAACACAAAGCCCTTCTATTTGTTGTAGTTACAAACTTGTTCAGATGTGAAATTTATGCATGTAAAGCTACCTCTCAGAACATCTTTAAGACATGCTGGTCCTTCATCGCGTATTCATGTTTTGCTGATATATATCAGTTGTGAAGCCACAAATTCATACCAGTCTGCCACATGCGGTTTCTGATTTGGAGCTTCTGACATTAAACTCAAAGCAACAGCACCACTTTGCATACAGCTTTCCCTAACAGCAGCAGCCTGCACATGAAGCAAAAAAAACTGGTGGGATCTGTTACTTAATGATGTTTAAACAACTTTCTTGTTATATTGCTTTCTTGATACGCATGATAAAGGAATACTTTAAAGGAATTATTTTATATTTTTTATATTAAAAAACAACTATTGCTCTCTCTATTTGAGACGCCATTTGCTATTTTCTTTAAAAATATTCTAATTTGAATTAATTTGTTAAATTTTGGTAGAGATTTTAAAGAATATTCTCTGTTGTCCTTGGGCTTTAAAGTTCAATGTGCTTTGTGAATTGTATTTAACTTTTGACAACTTTTTGTTCAAAATATTTTCTAAAAGCATCAGTTAACCTTGTTATTCCCAATTCACCTTTTTTATGACACTCTCTATTTCCCTAGTATTTTTTTACTTTCTTTTTTTTTTTTGATGCTGAGGAAGAATTTTTACCATTCTGATATAAAGTACCGTTCTTTTTGTGTGCATACGATATAGTTTTTATCATGGTTGCTAAAGAAATTGGAATTTAAGGGGAATATACAGTTGTATAGAGTTGCTGATGGATGCATTCAGCAGATGGCGCCAAACACATTCCTTTGCAGATTTTCAGAGTCCTCAATCCAACATGTTACTGCTCATTTAACCATATTAGGCTCTCCAAATGAAGAATTATATAAGACATAAGGCCAGTGGGATGTAAATAATACTTTTTAGACTGCCCATCTAAGGTAATAGAGAACATCTTATTTGCTGTCTAAACGTATGTTCATCTCAGTTTAAAGCAAAATCTTCAACCTTTAAGTTGAACTTCTCTCCAATGTCCTAACTGTGTTGTTGGCACTTAGTCATCAGTCACTCCGGGCATTCCTACAACACAGCATGAGCTGTTCACAGCAGAAGAACAATATGTTCCATTATTCACACCATCTGCAGAAACCTATGTCCTCCCGTTGGCCCTGTCCTTTGAGTATGTAACACTCAGGGGGGGGAAAAAATGTCATGCCAATTAGGCCAATACAGTCCTTGAAAGAAAATGTATTTGTCGTTGCACAGAGTCCTTAACTCGTTCTTCTTTTGTATCTGAGTCCAAGAGTTTGTGCACAATATGTGGCTGCTTTAGCCCATCAGTTCTGGCCTTTTAAACTAGGGATTTAAGAGCTTACAAGGGGTTAAGCCAGTCAACCGCCTGTTTTAGAGATTACTGTCTTCAGTCTCCCATTTTCACCTCTCTGTCTTGGTGCAGCAGCAGAAAGTGTGAAGGGTGGACATTAGAGACATGCCTCAGCTTGACATCTCTGGAGGGAGGAAGTGGTGATAAATGAGTGTTTAGAGGCTTGATTAGATTGAACATTACCTCATACCGTGAAGCTGCATGCCCAGGAAACATGGATGAAATTTGTATTTAAAAAAAAATCACTATCCCCTGTCAAGACAATCCTAAAGTGAATATTATCTCGTCCACTGAGTAGGAATGTGTTGCAAACGTTAAACATACATACATACATGTGTCTGTGCAGAGCTGGTCTGAGCTGGAACTTTATGCTCCATTTCTCCCTTAGAGATATGAGTAATGGAAGTATGGATGTTGCATCTTTAATATGACTCTGACATTTGTCTCACCATCCATTCCACCGGTACCATCTTCCTCCTCACCTGCATAACACTACCATATGAGAAAAATCCCTTTGAGCGTAACTTACACTTTAAAGAACCTTCATGCCACCTTTAAGAATCAGATAATAATTTACATAGCACAGTCAGTTGGCACCAGTCCCTGATTCCAAGACAGTTCAGCTGATAGTCCACACCTTGTTTTACTTAAAATGTCTTGGTGTCCCTCTCCTCTCTGTTTACTCAGTGTCATTCAATTGAAGTTATAATGTTTTATAGACTATTCATTAGCCTGCTACGGCACCGGATCAATACTACATCATTACATGCATGATTGAATCCAGTACCAGTCATCTGCTCTAGGGTATAATGGTCTGAATTTGTTTACAGTCATTAATGTCACTCTGTGGACATGCAATATTTTGTCATTCCGGCAGCAACTTAAAATAAAAACATCCATTTTTGTGTTTATTGTTAGACTTTTAATGTTTTTTATTTATTTGCAGTGCCATTGTAATCTTTATAGTTTATTTCAAGATTATAGAATTAGCTAATATCACATCTTTAACATCTGGCTAGTAATTTATCATTCAGTAAAACCTGTGAAATTCTACTGAACTGCAAAACGGAACAAATGTAATACAAAATGAAATACCAATACATCAGGTGTTTTTAGAAGACTTAAAACACCTGAATATAGAAGCATTCTTTGACATGCTGCATTCCATTCTATGTCACTAATGATCTATGGGTTAGTTAGCATGTCACCATTTGTTCGATGAGCTTTTGTAGTAAACAATACAACACTGCAGGTCTATTCAGACAGCCACAACTACAATTTCAATGAAAACTTGTGTTGATAAGCTATGGGGACAGTTTTGATGGGGTTTTTTTTTGCATGCAAATCAATTTATGTAAATCTGTGTGAACCAAAAGGTTTCAGGAAATGTACTCCATTTCACTCATCATTCTGTCCCAGAGGGAGGGGGCTCGGCTGTTCACAAAACAAACCACTGTTGTGCGCATAGGTGCAAACATTGGTTTAACCCGCTCACCCCTGAGATGCCCTCACTGTCTGAGAGCATTGAACTCCTGTGGGATCTAAATACTCCCTTTGAAACTGCACGCTTGGGCCACGCGCCGAGATCAGACTGGCCTTTGTGTTCACGTGAATGTGTGGGTATGCAGAGCCATTATGAACGGAGTCATCTGCTTTGTACATGACCAGTCGACCACATTACTCGCAAGAGGGCATGAAAAGGGGTTAACAACATTTTGAAAAAGTATTTCATCTCTGTGAGAGCACTTAAATTGTTCATGTGCTTGACATGTGACACATTGTTTTGGAAGGTGTGTACAAGGGGAGACAGAAAACTTAATTTTACCCTCTGTATTTTTCTCTCCTAAAACAGATTTCTCTTTTGAGAAATCACCCACCACACCGTAAGGTCTTATTTTTACATTCTCTGTCTAATTACTTCCCTACACTGACCGCCAGATTTTGTAAAAACATTTTTTTTCCATATGTGAGCACCACGGATGTGGGGAAGGGGAAAGTGAGGACGAAAAGAGCGGGAGTTAAAAGAAACGAAGGGAAGGGTTCATGAAAACAACAGATCTATGCTCCCTAATCCTTTTGTATCCACGGTGTTAATCCACCCATGCAAACCCAGTCCCTCCACCCACCACCCAACTCACCCTCTCTCTGCTCCTGTACCATATACTAGGCGCCGCAAACAAACAAACAACCAACAGCATTGTCAATACTCATTCCCCCAGACCGTACAGCTGAGGTACATCACGGCCACAGTAGCCCACTGACACACACAAAAAACTCTGCTTCAACTCTGTACTTGCTTTAATCCTGTGTTTTTGTGGCCTCTGGGA